TATAATTTATAATTTAAAAATTTACTTATATAGCTAAAGTTAGTTAATTATAGTAAATTTAAAGACGCCTTATATAATAAGGCTATTAATCTTAGTAGCTACTAATTACTTAAATAGCTTACTAGGTGCTATAATAATACCTTTTTTATATAGTTAGATTATAAAGGTTTAATAAGCTTCTTTTTTTACTAAGAGGAAGGTAGTATAAGGTATATTAGTCTCTTATAGTAAAGTGTATCTTATAGGGATTTTTCTAGCTTATTAAGGTTACATAATAGTAAGATTATTAGTATATAGCTACTACCCTAAACTAGTTATAATAATAATAGTATCTTTAGTAGGCTTATTACTATAACTACTATTATTATTTAAGATAAATAAGGGATATTACTTAACTAAGCCTTTTTCTTTATTATCTGCTATATAGTATAGCTTAACTAATATAGATTAAAAAACATAAGGGCTATTAATATTAATAGTAAAGTCTTTACCTTAAGTAGTAAGTAACTTATATAGGCTAGACTAACCTCTTTTTTTACGCTAGATATAGATATTACTACCTAAAGGTAGATCCTTTATTATAGAGGTATTTAGGCTATTATAAGTAGTAAGAGCCTTATTAATTTACTATATTATATTATATTTATAAAGATCTTTAGTTACCTTATAAATAGCTATTATATATTAAATTATCTTAAGTAAAAAAGTAAAGTTAGTAGTTATATAGAGGTAAGCACTAAATACTAATAAAGTAGGTATAAGGCTATTTAGGCTAGTAGTATTATTAACTACTTTAGTAGCGCTTTAAAGTGCTACTTTATAGTTAATAGATAGGTATTCTTTTTAGATTATCTTATATACCTATTAAAGTATAGTATAAAATCTTTTAACCTTTCTAACGCTATAATATACTTTAATAGGGATAATCTTAACTTTAATACCTATTATATAGGCTTTATATAAAAATTTAGTTAAGATAAAGTTCTACCTTACGTTAGTAATAATCTAATCTAAAGGTCCTTAGTAGATATTAATTTAGTAGTAACGTAGTGCCTTTTATATAGTTTTTACTAAAATATTATAAAGAAAGTAGGCTATATTAAAGGTAGTAGTAGTATTAATAATATAAAGTATAAGGTTACTATTAAGGTATATAATATTAATAATAACTTTATAATTAAATAAATAGTTATTATATAAAGTAAATTAGAATTAAGAAGAAGCCTTCTTATAGATCTAGTAATAATAATAGTACTTTATTAAGTGTTTAATTACTTTTATTTTAACCTTATAGCTAGCCTTATAAAGGATCTTATATAGCTAGTAAATTAATAGATAGCTAAACTATTAATAAAGATAGTATAGCTTAATATTAGTTAGGTAATAACTTATAAGGCTTTACTTAGGTAGGCTAAGTAGTATCTATAGGTAGCCTTATTTTTATATAACTAGTACTATAAGTTTACCTTATTAAAGAGTATTTATAAGGTTATTAAATTAAATTAATAGCTAATCTATATTAGCTAAGTAAAATAAGAAAGGTATATTAGTAGGTATTATATAAAAGGTAATATACCTAAGGGAAGTCTTTACTATAATAGTACTTTATAAAGTAATAGTATTACTATTACTAAACTTAATCTTTACTTTACCTATAGCTATAGTGTTAATAGTTATAAATAGTTAAATTTACTATAGTATAATAGCTTATAAGTAGCCTATAGTTAAGTAACTTACTACGCTTATATTTAGTAAAATACCTTAAAAGGTAGCTAATAAGTAATAATTTAATATAAAGGTACTAAGTGACTTAGTAAAGGTGTTATTAAGGTTAACTTTTATTAATTAGTAATAAATAGCTTAGTTAGTAAGGTTAGTAGTAAGCGTATTACTATTTACTTTAGCGCTACTAAAGAATATAGTTAAGGTATAAAATATACTATTATCTTATTTTTTATTATTACTAATAATAAAGTAGGCCCCTTAGAGATACTACTAAAGATCTTTATTATTATTACTATCTTTATTTTCTTCTTCTTATAAATAAGTGCCTTTATAGCTAGTAAAAAAGGTGTTATATATAGTTAGTAAGGTATCTTTAATATAATAGTTACTTTTAAATTACTAGTACACTTTACGTCTTTTATTAGTAGTATACTTTATTAACTAGTAGCTAGGCTTATAGTAAATATAGCACTTTTTAGTATTATAGCTACTATTATTATTATTACTATTATAAAAATTACTACTACTATAGTTATTACTAAACTATTAATAACAGCCTTAGCCTTAGTAAGTATAGTCTACCTAATATTAATTATTAGGTAATAAAGGTAAAGATTTAGTAAGGTACTAGCTATAGTAAGGGCGCCTTATAGTAGTACTAATAGATAACTATAATTAGCTATATACTTCTTCTAATATTATAGCTAGAGCGTATAGGTAAAGGTTACACTTAAGAACCCTAAAGTAAGTATTTAGTAACTAGCTTCTTAACACCTTATTATTTTAGTATAATAAGGGGAGAGCCTATTAGATAAAGGCTAGCTTTAAGATAAGCTCCTTAAGGGCTTAGATCTTAGTTATTATAAGATTATTATATATAACTTAAGGAAGTGTTATTTCTTACTATTTAAATAGGTAAGTCTATATTTATTCTTATATCTTAAAGTAGTTATAAATTTAGTTAACTATCTTATTAAAATTATAAATAAATACTATTACTATAAATATAATTAATATAGAACTAAGATACCTTACTTTTTAATATAATAAAAAAAGTAAGACTAAGTTAGTATTACTTAATCCTAACCTTACTATAGTTATCTTAAAAGATACTTAACTTAAGATTAAGAATATTATATAACTTACTACTATACTTAGTTTTATCTATTAGTAGCTTTATAAGATTAGTTAGTTAATAGGGGTATAGTTAGAAAAAAAAAATAAGTATAAATTTAGATTTATATAGTAGCTAATATTATAACTTATTATAGCCTTATAATTAAAATCTCTATATAGTGCCCTAAGGTAAAAGGTTAGTAGTAGGCTTAAGGTTATTTAATAAATTAAATAGTATATTTTACTAAGGATTTACCTTATTTATTATAATAAGCTAACTACCTAATTACTTATTATACTAGTTATAATAAAGGTAATAAAAGTAAAAAGTTCTTAAGTTATATAATAAAGTATTAATAAATAAAGTGCTTATATTACCTTTAAGTACTAAGTTTAGATTAGTAAGTACTTAGTAGATTTTATCTTATTATAAAAGTAAAGTTAGGCTATTTTACTTCTACTTTAGCTAGTAATAATCTACTATTAGTAGATAAGTTAAGGTAAATAAGGTTAGCTACTTTTATAAAGTAGTATTAGCTATTATTTATAATAATATTAAAAAAGTAGTAAATAAGGCCTAATTAATTATTAATCTCTTTTTAGGTAAAATATATTAACTAGTAATATTATTAATAAATTTAGGATTCTTTATTTATAAGTTAAAGATAAGCTATTTATAGTATATAAAAGTAATATCTTTTTTAGTTTATATATAGAAATTAGTGTTAAGAAGGTCTACTAATTTAGGTATAATTTTTCTTTTTACTAGATTAATAAAGACTTTATTATTAATAAGGTAATTATAAAATATTAATAATACCTTAGTGCCTATAGTATTAAAGGTAGTAATAGTCTAATTTATAAAATCTAACTAAAAGGTAGTAAGAAGGTAGTAGCTATAAAGGTTAGTATCTAACTATATAGTAATTATATATATTATATATAATCTAACTTTATAAAGGTTTAACTTATTAAGATTAAAGTTAATATAGTTACTTTATATTATTAGATTAATATAGTAAATAAAAGTAAGTAAAAAAAAGAGAGGCTATAAGAAGTAAGATAGTAATAATAGTAATAATAAAGGATATAAAAAGGAATAAATATTTATTATTTATTAGTTTAATAGCCTTACTATTACTAGTAGTAGCTCTCTATTTTTCCCTTTTTTATTTATTATTAATAAGAATTTAGTTAATATAAAGTAAGAAAGTAAAGAGGTAATAATAATAAAGGTTAAATTTATAAAGGATTATTTACTAATAGGCTAGTTAATCCTCTTTACTCTTAGTAAAATAAACCTTATTAATCTATTTAATAATAGTAATCTTATAATTTAATTATATACTAATTAGTATTAGTTAAATTATATAAAAAGGATATCCTATAGATTACATAATAAATTATAATATAAAATATAGTTATTACTTATTATATTAGTTAGTTATAAAGTAAATCTAGACTTTTAGGTAGTATACTAGTAGTAAGGTAGATACTACTAAGGGAGGCAGTGTGTCATGTGAATATCACGTGACCACCTCCCCCAAAGCATACCTACCGTATACCAACAAAAGGGAAAAGTCAGAACACAACACCGATGTTAACTGCTATAGCCAAGCCTATACAGCTCCTGAACATAAACCGACAGCGGCTCTTAAGCATAAGGAGCATAAATCGACAGCGGCTAAAAAGGGATGGGAGTATCGCCCAGATGCTGAGTTCCCCTGGAGACTTGAGCAGGTGGTTGACAAGGAAGAGAACTGGCGTGGAACCTGGGTCCTGGAAGTGAAGGACCTGCAGGCGATGGACTGGGGTACTACCTGCGTGCCCAAGGCCAAGGCCGACGGTAACAGACAAGGAGGGCAGTATCAGAGGCAGCCGACACGCCATCTTCCTTTTCTGGCTGATGAAGACAGGTACCGAGAGATGTTAGTTGGAGGCCAGGATGACCTGCTGGTGCAGCTCGGGAAGCGATAGCTCTATTAAGCCTACCACCAAGGTGATTAATACTACCAATTTGAGTCACACAAAATGCTAAGAACCAGTACCTCCCTATCCTCATGAGTGCACGCTGCTATTAGCAGCCCGATGCCGAGATAATACACCTCCCGCAGCGAAGCCTGCAGCGTAGGTGTATCTGTTGGCGGAGGCACCGGCAACTACTCGTGTCCTTGAGCCTCCCGGTCTGCCCGATTCTCTTGCTCCTGATACTTGTCCAGCCTGTCCATGCACCTTTCTCTATCGTACCGCTCTGTGAAGACGCCCTCTTCCCGGTATATCTGCGCTTCGGGCACATCCGGGCTGGTGCAGTGTACGTGTTTTCTATCCACGGCAATCTAAGTTGTAATTATAAATTAGCATAGAAAAGCTACTGAGCTTAGACGGTGCCTAAGCGCAGAGGTAGATGCTACTAACCATTTCGAATTTTCTAAACATTTCTCTTGCCATTGAGAAGAACTCGCGAAAGGTATAAGTCTGGAACCTGCGCCAAGCTGCTTCATCTGGTGCTTCCTGTCACCCACGATATTAGCAGCTTGTTTATACACAGTAGACAGACTGTGTATAGGGATGATGGTGTCTATGAGGAGTGATGTGCATTGCTGAGGACTTACTGGGTCAGATAATTGAGTGGGCTTCGGACCAGTCTGTGGGTCCGCGACAACAATTGTGCCGCGCTCTGTATCAATAAAAATATAACGACCATTATAACCGGATGGAATCGTTGCATAAACAAACACATGGGGCGGTATATCAGAGATACTGCCCTCATAAGGCTCAAAAAGAGACTCATTTGCATACTTGCTAGGTAAGTCTAGGACAATCTCACTAGTGAAGTCTACAGGAATAGCGTTCCCGTAAATCTGCCGCGGATCCCAGTCGTCCGTCCTCCTTTGTGCGGCGCATGTAAGGGATATGCTTCATCAGGTCCGCTACGGTGTCGTTCTTGCCTAGACAGAAGGACTTGACGAAGTCGGGTGTGATGTGCCCCCAGCCGCCCTCCGGGGAGTATTGAATGACGTCTGGGGGCAGGTAGATCTGAGTCAAGAATTCGTAGTAGGACGTGAGCTCCGATACAAGCTCGTACCTACAGTAGGAGGGTTGCGCCATGTTTGGAGCTGGGCGGAAAGGGTGGGAAAGATATTGTAGGTGCAAAGAACGAATTAATGCCTAAGTAGGGAGGGGTTTGAACTTATCTAAGGTGATGGAGAAAAGGCGAACAAGGGTACTAGAGTTATTATACTGCTTTTCTATTTCCGGTGGGCGTTGGTTCTGTGACAGAATCAACCCGTCATTTTTTACCTAGTTCTAGCTCTATAAGACTTATTAGCTTATTTGGATAGTATTAGACCTACAAGCCTGTGGTGATCCTATCCGCTCTTTAGTACATAACTACGAATAAGACACGCTTCTCTGCTTACTTATATATACACATTCTGCTGGCTACCCTGACTAACTGTTATTCTGCTAGTTCTGTTGCTGTTAGTTTATTAAGCCTTGGTTAGCCTCCCTCCTGTAGATATTATTGTTGTTGTTAGTTATAATAATTTCTATCCCTCTCTCTAGGATGTACCCTGTTGGAGATTGCCCGAATAATTGATTGTGTCTCTAGGCACTACCGTCTTGGTCTCTTGGCATGAAGCTTTGCTGAAAATCCCGCGAAGCAACTGCTCTCTTGCCACTAAGATCTAGTGCTTTAATTAAGCTTCTTGTTTGCCCTGTTAACAAAGTAAAGCATCACCTTTAATAGCTTAGCAAAGGCTGCAATAGCCGCATTCTAATTCTGCCTGAGGTCCACAACGCTGCTTTAATACTATCCGCACTCTGTAGACACCTTGTGCGGCTGTCGGTCATGAGGCATGCCACTCAAAATTCGTTACCACTGCATGTTTTCCAATATCACTATCATGTGATTATTTTTTCTGACTTCCCAGGGACCATCTCAATCCATTACTTCTTCCAGCTTAGCAAGACAATATCAGCTTTTTAACCCCTAATTCAGGGACTTGCAGATAAAATTAGCACAATGAACCAACAGCCATGCTTCAAAGGTTCTCCGCTAGCTACATATACTACTTGCCGTCAAGGAAAAAGTTGGAACGGCGGCTGATGCGGCACAGCAGTCCTTAAATCCACATTGGCCCATACTAGTCTCTTTGGACTTGTTAAGCTTTCCAATCCAGCCCAATAGTCTTCACAGTAAACCCTTAAGCAAAAGAGCGTTGTGGATTCCCAGTGCTAAAAGCCTTGTCTTATCGGTTTAATTACGATAAAATCCCCAGCGGCCATGTCGACACGCCTGGGATTATACTCGCGGGAAGCGCAAATGAGGCAAACTGAAAAGTTTGAAAATGGCTCCTTGTCCCAGCCCTCGCTGTGATTCCTAGCGACTCTCCAAGCCTCATGAACAGCCTTATCATTTCTTTCAGACGCTTTGGTGACTACACCGATCGCTCGTTCGATCATTGGCAGCATTATTTTCCATCTTTTACGGAACACATTGACACATACTCTCTTGACAGTCAAATTCCTCAATCCTATCTGAAAGACGTCCTCCGTCTTTTGGCGTTTCTTCCAAATGGCCACAGCAACTGGGAAGATGACCGCCATTTTCTTTGCCCTATAGATTCTTCCATCTTGTATTATGAAAGTGGATGCAAAGGCTGTCTTTGCTCATTTAATGGTGAGATCATCAGTTCAGATACTAAAAGCCAATTACTCATCATCACAGGTTGGGAACACTGAGAACTATGCGATGAAAGACTTTGAATACGATATTTCGCTTGCTCAACAAGCGCATATTGATGGATTTGCCCTCAACATGGCCTGTGGAGAGGCCACTAACGTGGGAAGCGTTGACATGATGTTTGATGCAGCCCAGGCGGCCGGGTTCAAGCTCATCTACTCATTTGACTACGCCGGCCGGGGTCCCTGGCCTCAGCAGGATGTCATCGATATGTTAAACGTCTACTCAGATAGCCCGGCCTACTTTCGACAATCAACTGGCCAGCCCTTAGTTTCTACCTTTGAAGGCCCTGGACAGTCTGAGGACTGGGTCTATATAAAAGAGCAAACTAATGCCTTCTTTATGCCTTCCCGGTCTTCACTCGGCGCCAAGCGCGCGATGAAGAAGAATGTCGCCGACGGGCTCTTCAGCTGGGGCGCCTGGCCTGAAGGACCTAACGACATCAGCGAGGAGATTGACGCTTCCTATGTCGACTTTTTAGGGAAAGACGCTAGTGGCAACAAGAGGCCTTACATGATGCCTGTCTCGCCTTGGTTATATACCAACCTCCCAGGCTATAGGAAGAATTGGCTCTAAGGCGGTGACAGTCTCTGGTTTCGCCGCTGGAGCCATGTATGGCATATGCAGCCGGAGTACGTCCAGATCATCGCTTGGAACGACTACGGTGAGTCGCACCACATTGGCCCCATCAATGAAGGCGCCATGGCTGCCTTTGATATCGGTGAGGCGCCCTTTAACTACGCCCTTGGCATGCCACACGACGCCTGGCGCATGTTCTTACCCTTCGTCATCGACACGTACAAGACCGGCAAGACGTCCTTCACCAAGGAGGGCCTTACCATCTGGTACCGCCAAAACCCTGGCCGCGCCTGTAGCAACGGCGGCACCGTGGGCAACAACAACGCAGCGCAGGTCCAGACCGAGGGGGACCCGGCCAACTTCGCCGAGGACAAGGTCTTCTTCACGGCGCTACTCTCAGGGTTCGCCCTGCCACGGGTCAGAATCGGGGAAGGCGGGGGGAATGGACGAATGTAGCGTGGGATGTTGTTCCGGATGGCGGCGTCGGTCTCTACCACGGCTCCGTTCCTTTTAACGGCAGGACTGGCTTTGTCAGGGTAGAGATGAATTCAGTCGGCGACAGTAACACAATCATTGTAGTAGCAGTGGGGCCCCAGATTACGACGGAATGCGAACACGGCATGGTCAACTGGAACCCCTGGGTCGGTGGCAGCTGGTCCTCCCGCACAGTCAACGCCAGCCCAAAGCTGTCTCTGTCGGAGATGCTGTGCACCAAGGGCACCGGGGAAGGCGACTTCCAAGAGGTCTGCGAGTTCACCTGCGCGTTCGGCTACTGTCCCCCAGGACCTTGCACTTGCAATGAGCTGGGCGGTCACAAGGAGGAGCCCAACATCATCGACGTTGACGGGTTCCCTGCTGCAGGCAAATCCTGCGCCCTTACTGGCCTATGCAGCTGGAGCTGTAACCATGGCAATTGCCCCAAGTCGCAATGCTCAACAGACAAGTCACTTGACGGCAAGTGGGTGATGCCTGTTGACGAACCCGAGGCTCCCGAGCAGCCACCCCCACCACCGCCAACACCATCGAAACCGGCTGTCGTCGGCCCTGAGAACCTCAACCCGTACAATGATCCCCGGTGGCTCAATAGTAACCGTTGCCTCTTCTTCCGGCCACCCAATCAAAAATTGACGGAGCAGCCGTGTTTAGCACAATGCCAGAAGGTGATCGACGAGGCGAAGGAGGAAGGACGGACTTACAACCATGGCTGCATTGGTTTTTACCCTCTCGACAAGCCAATTCCATGGATAGCGGCAGGAAAAAGTACGATTCACATACCTTGCTCTCTAACTCTCTCTTCCCGAGAGCTTGTCTCTATGTGGTGCCCTGTATTGAGATTTCGTCTAGGAGCTGGTGGTAGTTATGACTACGCTGTCGAGGGCAAGTGTTCTTGTGATAATTCGGCTGTCAACCTTTTCGCCAATACGGTTTTAGAAGCCCTACCGGTAATCGCCCAGGTACGTTGCCACTCTAGAATCGTACTGTCTATTACTTTACTAATTAGCAGAATCCAGATTGGGTGCTTCATACTGATGTCCACCCTCAAACTCATCTTTGAGCTAGGGACAGCCGTCCTTTCGGTCGTTGGCCAAGCAGTCAGTGCAGGCATGGGTATAGCTTCTCTCCTTGGGTTTATTTCTTTTACCCTATTTTTCCTTTTTATCAATCAAGTCATTTCCTTCATGCATGGAGACTTGGAATGTGGGTTTGAGATTCCAGCTAACAGGGGTTCGTCTAGGAATGGCCATCGATGCGGCCTTGACTATCAAGCACGCGTACGACAGCGATCACGATCCGGCCGGTGCATTCGACTTCTGGCTTAGTCCGTGTGGCAACCATGATCTTGCCCCAGAAGACATCAGAAAGGTGTATGGCATCGTCGCTGACGTCTCGGGGGCCATCACAGGCTGGCGGGCACCGAAGAACATTCCCAAGGGAAGCGGCAGAAAGGACGACAAGGCCAATCCAACGAACCGACCCAGTGCCTCCGTGAAGCCTACAAAGACTGCCGACAACTGCAAGAGACAAGCTGCAGGTGAGTTTTTGGTGGAATTTTATACTCCAGGGACGCGCGGCGACAGCCTAGATTCAAGCTAAGTAGCTGACAACTGCATTCAAGGCAACAATTGTCCGGTGTACATCACAAGCACGAGGATCACTGCGTCAACGCCCCATGTGGAGACAATCACAAAGACCTGTATCGCCAGGTCCCATACCCAGGCCTGCTTTCACTACTACTCAGCCATGGTCAACTACGGGTTCGGCAGGGCTTTGAGCTGTATCGACGATAACGAGAGGCCAGATAGTTTAACCAAGGCAACCAAGTCCTGGAAGGACCAGCACAAAGACACGGTCTGGCGGAGCTTCACGAAAGCGCAGCTACCACGGCCGCCAAGGTGTGAGGCAGATGAGTGGCCGCCTGCATTTCTTGCCGGCAAACTACCCGCAGAACTTGCCTGCCATTGGGCAGGTGGTCCGCTGGGTTCCGGGGTCTGAAAAGGGCGGAGCGGGTCATAACTGGCTTGGCTTCTGTGCGAACTCGGACGGCGGCGCTGGTAATGACCAATGGTCAAGTGAACCAAAATTCGGTAAAACTCAATGGCCAGCCGCAAAAGTCTATCACAGTAATGGGAGGCACGACTACGACGTATCTCAAGTACGAGGCCGACTTCACCCGCGCCGTCATGACGCTAGACTTTGACTGGACAGGAGTCAACGGCGGTCTACCACCAGACGCACCAAACGACTAGGGCCTGTACCAGAACCCTTGTTGGCCACTGGATATCGCCACCGGCGACCCGGACTATGTCCTCCTAACGGAATACAAGTGGTATGCCACAGCTATCATCCCTGCCGCAGACAAGGCCAACACGCCGAGGTACCGTCTCGCGCCGGCAGATGGGGAGTACCAGGCCGCCAAGACCCGTAAGTCTCAGAGCGAATTCCCTGGCGAAGACCTCCCTGGGCTAGGGCAGTGGCCCTGGAAGCGCTCAAAGGAAGACTATGCCGGGTTATCGGAGGTAAACGTCCTCGAGGACGGTAAGCTGGCGCTGCACGGGGCCAACTCGTCCCGCCGCCTCTCAGAAAAGGAGCTCCAGGATATTGCCGGGATGATAGAGTGCGGGGACCCTTCCTGCAGCAGAGAGGTCAAAGCATTTGGCGGGCGCGGCGTGGTAATTCCGGCCGTAGCTACGACGCTGGCGATCGTGCCGTCAACGAATTTAGATACAAGGCCGACGGAGGTTCCTGGTGGATTCCGGCCGGCGGCTTCGCCTAACCCGGGCGCCGGGCAAGGGGTTAGAGTAGTGGGTGTGGCTATGGAAACCGGGCGGGACAGTAACTACCACGGTCACAACGCAGCTCACTTTCGTTTCAAAAGGGGGTCTCATCATTGATATAGGTGATGCCTCCTCAGCTATCATTATCAATCTTTAGTCACAAATGTGGGTAGTATAACTCGTATATAGGTACGTATAGACAATAGAACATATGATAGCTTTTGAGAACATGTGAAAGAGCGGCGGATTTGAGACTGCAGATGCTGCAGGGAGAAAATAATGGTTAGCTAGGGATGGCCCGCAAGGTTTGGTCCGGTATACATCTCACCTGACGTACCCCCCCCCCCCCCCCCCCCTGGCTGACCTGACCTAGGCCCACCCGAAAATGTAGATTGATCCTGTATTAATCTAGGATTAATCTAGAACCCTAACCCTTACACCCTTCTATCTGACAGTAAAAGAATAAACATATACTATACTCTAAACTAACTACTGGCCCTAACTACTGACTCTAACTACAACCCCTAACCTGTATCTATGAATTTTAGAAGAATTAATTATACCTCACCTGACGTACCCTCCTTCTTGATAGGGTTAGGGTTAGAGTGGGCCTAGGTCAGGTCAGCTGCATCCTGGGTTTAGTCACAACCAAGGGTTTAGAAAATATCGCACATCTAACTAATCAACGTCATGGTCTCTTATTACTACTAGCATGTCGCACTGCGCTAATGTACACCAGTGTCTATTTTATCCTCGCCCCAGCAGCAGTTCTACCGTCTGAAGCAAAATCTAGTCGGTCATATTATGTTCCGCTGCGTCCGTTTTGAAGAGCAGCGCCCTCCAGTTTAGGTAATTGAAGCCATTCTAAAAAACACCCCCTCCCCTCCAGACAGATGATGCCAGTGAGAGCCGGGTTAATAGTTAGGTCAGTAACAACCAGCAAATACCTGGTGTTATATGTTGTTGAAGTGTAGGCCTTGCTGAAGTATGCCACCAGGCCAAAAGGGGCAACACTACTGGGTAAATGTCGGCTGCATTTCTGGGATGGATTTCCCATCTACAACGGGGAAACCTGATGGCACGTGCATTTTACCCCTTAGCCACGCCATCCAGCGGCCAGACAGAGCCATAGAGATACACAACACATCATCAATTAAAGAAGGATTATCGCAGCCCGTATACGTACTTCAACACGGCGTCACTCAGCAGCACGCCCAGCGCTATTCAATGGCACGCCCTAGAGACACGCCTGGCTGCAGTCGGACCCCAGGCGTTCTCGGCGCGTAAGGGCGGCGTTAGAAACGGAGATTAGTTTGGCAAGACAGCAATGAAGAATAAATTATGGGCCCGTTCCGTTTCCCAATTTACTTGACTACGAAAGGAAGTCAGGACGCGGAACTCAAGTAAGCTAATAAGCAGAAATACGCTGAGGGGGTGTAGGAGACAGACAGGTTGTGGCAGCAAGGGGTGCAGAGTGTTACAAGATGTATTTTCTGTGTCTCTGTATAGGCACTAATAAGCGCTGACAAAATCAGGCTAAGGCTAGCTACAAGTGTTACAAGTTAGAGCACACAGCAGGGTAGAGGATATTCAAGGTCTAAAAGGCTTATTTCTATACAAGTAAAGGAATAAAAAATAAAGACCTATATATAGTTAAATAAGGATAAAACACTATATAATAAAGCATATAATAGTGCTCTTATATAAGGTAGAAAGCGTATAAAGCTATTATAACAACAAACTACCCTACTTAGTTTTAATACATGTTAGGTACAGCTAGGTACTTTGGCTTCGAATTTGCGTAGGCATGCCCACAGCGGAGTATCCAATATCTGAAAAGAAGTTCCCATCCTGGTCGTGAACCTTCTTGAAAGGATAGATCTAGGTGGCTCCATGGAGGAAAGACAAACGCCAGGTTTACTGTGCGACTAATCATGAGGGGGGCAAGGTCAGCTTCCAGTTCGAAAAGGCGCTTTGAGGAAGGGTTGAGGGGAAGCATTTCTCAGCGTGGGGTCTGGAGCTGGGTAACATGGCGAACAAGCTGGAAAATGTAGAGGAGAAGCGCACGAAAAGGAAGACCACTGTTGGGAAGACCGAGACCGAGAACGACCCTGGCGACATCGTCCGCAAGTCGGACGAACCCTCCAAGTTGAGGTCTGATGAGATTGCTGTCCGAGGACACATCTGTAGAGGGAAGCTTAGAAGAAAGTCTGAGGAGAAGGGGTGGATGATTGCCATTGAAGGGATCCACGAGGGAGTTGTGATTGAGGCGTACCCGGACATTCTTCTTGTGCTCACAGCATTGAGGCTTGTGACAGACAAATGGGGGGAAGGGGTTTAATACCATGATGCTGTAGAGGATGATGAAATTGGCGATATAGTGTATTTGGAAGCTGGGATCATGGAGGAACAGGGTGAGGAAACGACTCTGAGGAGAGTTGGTGCGGTAGGATTCCGGGAGCAGTTTTGGACTGACTGGTGTTATTTCCTTCTAGCCTTTGGAGAGACTAATGAGACTTTTGATCATGAGTTTGATGCTGGGGACGGAAAAGGGCATTGCTAGAATAAATTATGGACTCGTAGGTAGCATGCTTGTTTTCAGGAAGGTTTCTTTGACTCTCGGCAAGCGAGACTCCTCAGACTAACCGAAACATCCTACATAGTCATAAAGTATATTAGAACTTCATTCAGATATTGAGGAAATGATCGCTCCGTATGAAAATCGTTTGGTTTACAGCTTTCTAGTCAGATGAAACCGCCACGACATGGAGGAATGAATGATTCATCCACATCAAAGTTTCTCGCCTCCACCAAATTCAGGATTGCCATCTATAAATTGTTTTGTTGAAACCTAGCGTTTACACTTCGGATCGGAAGTCTACAAAACACCGTCATCCTTTCCGACGACGTAGGAAAAAGGGATTATTCTTGTCGAAATTGTTTGCTCATGATAACGAGGACAAATAGGACAGATGGCCGAGATATTCAACGTAATCAACTGATGTTATTGGACTACCTCATCTAAGCAAAAGCAAAAAAAACCTAAACAAAAATTCACGCACGCAATTTCCTGAAATTCAGAATAACCCAAGCCTTCCCTCCTGATTCCCAAACCGAGCCGGAAACCGGAGAAAGAGCCAACGAACTGAAACACGCATCCATCTAACTCAGCCTAAGACTTCCAGACATTGGTAGTGTTGTAAGACCTTCCGAATCTCATTTTGATGACTTCTTCATCGCGCGTGTCCAGGCCCGGCGCGCCAGCAAGCGTCTTCTGGTCGACATCAAAGCACTTGGTAGTAACGGAAGTGTCGCAGAGAGGGTAGAGCTGCTTGTGCTCCATGTCACAGAAGAGCTTCTGCTTAGTCGACACAATGTCCCAGCCGTAAGACGTCTCAGACTCACAGATCTCGCGGACGTCAGTGTCCTGGTCGGAGATAATGAGATGGCCGGTATTGCGGTTGCTACTGCGGCGCTTGACGTGGACGTCCCGGCGCTTGGGCTTATTAACCTTCTTTGGGGCCATGTACGCGCCCTTGTCCCACGGGTGCTCGGGGTCGTCAAGGACCTTACTCAGGTCCTCGTCGGCGCCGTTGCCGTTCTTGTACTTAAGCCTAGGCTTAAACATAGGCGGGATAGCGTCAGGGAGGAGGTTACCCCAGAAGGAGAAGCGAGGCGTACTCTTGCAGAGGGTGTCAAGGTTCTCATAGTACTGCTCCAGCTTGTCGTCGTTGGGCTGCATGTCGTTAAGGTGGAAGCTAATAGCGCGGGCGTTGATGCCGTTGTCGTGGTTGGCGTCTAGCCAGACGCAGCGCGGCGCCTCGAAGTCGGAGCCAATGCGGTTCTCGCTTGCGAACCAAGACTGGCCGCACTTGTACCCGGTGTCGCCGTAGAAGGCACCGGAGATCTTGCCGTTGGACACCAGCACGGCCGAAATGCAGATGGCGTCATCGTCCATCTGGGAGAGCATAACATAGTAGGGGTCGGCTTGCGAGTGCTTGGGCTCAGTCTGGGTGTGCTCGATCACAATGTTCGTCTGGTCGCCCGCCTTGATCTTCTTCTTGTCGGGAGTGTACTGGCCGATTCGATGGCCATCTGCAGAGATCGTGTTAGACGCATCGCGTGATACAGTAGGAGATGTACTTGCCATCGTCCCAGAGTGCGATGTGAGGTCGCGGGCCTCCAGCCGTTGTGGTTCTCTCACCGCTACCCAGGATGATCTGGATATTGGTCTTTGCCTCAGCTGGGGTGGGCTTGTCGAAGGCGCCCGAGAGGCTGAGAGAGGCGAAGAGCCCAGCGGCATCGATTGCGAAACCCAATGCTGCCATTTTGAAGAAGGGGTATGAAAAGATGGGTTGTTGTGGTTGAACAAGTTTTAGAGCTTTACAGCTTGGGATTGGGATAATGGAGGAGAAGATGAGTGTCCTGGGTGCAGATGATGCTGATTGCGATGATGTGACAGTCGTAGTACTGTGAATGTTGTTGACGAGGTTGGTCTGAGGATGAGAAGACAGAATCAAATCAAGGAACTTTCCAACACTTATATACCAAGCTGCCATCCTATGAAAGTAGATAATTCCACGTATTTCTCACAAGGCTCCGTCCGCAGCCGTGTGACATCTTCACGAACCTCTTCCATGTTCGATCCTATGTAGCTTCGACTTACAAAAATAGCCTTAAGAACAGCAGACACCGAAACCAGCATACGGAAACGCATTGGTTGGTTGATTTCGCTGCGGAAACAGGCTGTCAGAGCCTCGATCAGCTCTGTCTCATCCATCGGACCCCACGGTATGACAGGCCCCTAGGGCGGATTCTCAGATCCTGAGCCTCGGGGTCGAAAAGTTGGGTTGCTATATTCTATTGAGCGGCTGAAATAGAACTTGTCAGAGCCTTGGTCAATAGGACCCAACCAACAGACCATATCACTGAGATCCTACCAGAAACTCGCCGTTGTGCCTGGCCCCCAGGGCGCATTCTCAAATTCTGAGCCTCGGGGCTGCGTCAACCAAGACCGCGTACAAGCGAGGCCAAGAAAAAGAAGCAACTCAATGTATGTAAGTAAGCTCACTGAACCATCAAGCGCCGAGGGTTTTTTTTTTTTTTTTGGACCCGGACCCCAATGAGGCGTCGGTTCATTTTTGGAACTGTAGTGGATCTCCAGATGTGTGATCCTAGTTCCAACCCCAACAGCAAGGCACTTTCGTTCTCGATAATCATCTTGGCATACTGCCTCTATCTGGCGGCGTAGAGAAAGTGTCGCAAAAACGACGCCGTTAATCGCAAGCAGCAATTAACGCCTTATGTACGTACTACGTGCGACAGAAAGGAAACAAGAGTTGAGAGACTAGAAGAAACGCCATCTGCCATTTGTGTATATAAGTCGTGGTCTCTGGCCATTAAAATTGATTTGGCTGGAGCGTCACTCACTACTTCACCTTTCTACCTCATACAAAACAATCCAAGCGATTTTAACCTCAATTTTATCTCCCCGCCAGCTCTATCGTCCATTACAATGCGATTCACTTTGGCTCACGCGGTCCTGTTGGGCCTGGTGGCGGCAATCCCCCTCAGTACTGCTCATCCTCACGGGGTGAATCTCGACCGACGAGGTATGATCAAGAGGAATCCGAGGCGCGAGACAGATGAGCATCGACCATGGTACTAACAAGGTTGATTCTCAGGCGTCACTGACGGTCTCATTACCGCAGAGACCACCGATGACTCGACGCTCGGCAGAGTCGCGGCCGGCGAAGCTGAGCGCCGCTGGCTCCTTGAGGCCATCGACCCTCGTGGCATCCCCAGGCTTGGAGACAAGCCGCCCAAGGACAAGGACTTGCCTGGAGCTCCAGGAGGTAAGCCGGGTGGCGGCGACGGCAAGCCCGGCGACGGTGTTGGGACCCCCGTTGGGTCCGGAACCGCGCCGAAGTTCGCGGATGCCAACCTGGAGGCGGCGAGAAACAAGGGCTACACCCTGAGCAAGAGTCTCGACGATGCCATTTTCAAAAACGCCCCGGAGCCTGAGTAAGTCTATTTGTCATTCTGAAAAAGCCCCAGCGACGATTTCCGCTAACATATTGGTGAATAGGAAAAAGGACCTGACGAGCTTGGGATATCAGAAATCGGGGGGTTCGGCTGCACCCATCATTCAATACCCGAGTGACAAGGGCAAGCCTACCTATCTCACCAAATACAACATCAACGAGCTGGAGAAGGAATCATGGAAGAAGCGCAGAACATTCCGCAGCGATGGCGGCTCCAGCAAAGACGAGCCTATTCTGGAAACCTACGCCAATCCCACAGACGGGGCCATGATCATCAAGCAGAGCTGGAACAAGGACCGCGACCCAGCACCCAAGGCGACGTGGACGGACATGGTGAACGACCAGTGGATGACCGTGGCCAAGAACAACCCGAAGAACCTGAAGTACGTCATCCGCGACAACATCCAAGACATCGACACCACGGATAGCAGCGGGATAATTCTCAACACGAAGAAAGCCATTGACGAGGTCTTTGAGTCGAACCCGAGAGCCAAGAACAAGAAGGACCAGACGCTCACGCTTGACCGCGAATCTGCCGACGCAAAGGACAGAGCTGACTACGAGCTCCTCGCGGCGCAGACGCACGTAGCCCGCGTCATCCAGTGGATGAAGGACCGCCACGCTTCGCTGGGAGACAAGAAGATCAAGACTCTCCACGTCAACAGCATAGAGGGTCCTGGCGACCAGTACAGCATCATCATCGAGCTCGCCTAGAGATGATGAAGCTGGCCTCTATACTGACTTATCTACGGAGCAGCAGGTGTCTTTGTCCGGCGGAGGAAACTCGGGAACTATGGGGGATTCTCTCATGGATGGTGGCACATCAGATGGACTGGGTGTTGATTGGACTAGGGGTGGTTTTGTTTTCAGATCTGACTTGTACTGGAGCTCTTGCGAGGTTTTTAAAGAAACAATGATTTCTCAGACGGTGATGCCTTTGCTGCCGATGTACTTGAAGAAGCCGGGGACATCCGCTCATCACAGTCGGTATAAGAAAGCGTAAGTAAGATGCTGTCTTTTGGGACCTCAGTAACCCTCGGGTTACTGTTTAGATGGCGAAACAATTACCACGGCGTAAATGGGGATCATATTCTGCAGGAGACCCGGGCCTTTGATGCGTAAGTTATTGAATTGGGTAAGTGAACAAGTTCGGAAATAAAGAGATAAGGTGAAACGGCAGCTGAGCACATACACAACCAATCAATTGCGTGCTTAGAGCTGGAATAGACGTCAGAACGGGCTTGTTAAAAAAGCAAGGCAAAGATTCAAGGCAGGATTTGCGATCCTTTTCTTGAAACACCCTTCCTTTGAACAAGACGGTGCACACATTGATAAACGGGCTGTACATGAAGCAGTCCTTAAGCAACACCTTATTCTCGTAGCGCATCTCTAGTGCCTTCAATACAGCGCCAACATGGCAGAAAGAAGTTGGTCCTCTTCCACTGTGGGTGACCTATCTACATGTACTCCTTGATGAGCTGAGCCATTGACTCCAACCCTTCTTTCTCTGCGAGTTCCAGCGCTTGTTTCCTGTGATCCTCGTCCACCTGACCGTCTGACTCCAGCAGACGCAACGCTTGTTCATGTTCTCCCTTGACGGCCTCGAGCAGAGCACTCCCTGGTCTGAAATAGTCTTTGGCGCCGTGTTCGAGGAGAATCCTCACACAAGCGGGATTTCCGTGGCGGCAAGCATACTCGAGTGATCGGGAGCTGATCACTTGCCCATTTTCCAGCAAAAACTCCAAAACATCTTCGTACCCTCCGCCTGCGACAACGCTCATCCATGTTTGGAATGTGTCTTGGTCATCGGGACGTTCATCATCAAGCTTGGGCGGGACTCCGTGGTGGTTGACGAGGTACTTCATCATCGGCAGGTTGCCACATGAGGTGGCGCGGCAGTATGCCTGACGTCGAAGTTCTGACCGCGCGTGTTCTGCATCGCAGATTTCCCAAGAGTTATAATGTTGCTTGAGTAAGTTGTCTTTGCGCCACTCATAGAGGCAGTCGAATACTTCAGGGGTTTTCTTTTCCATATCTGACAGGAAATGCTCGTATGGATAGTCGCAAGTTGAATAGCCAAGGGGATATCGACAGAGCTTGACTGTCTCGATCTGACTGCCTGCGCTCGCACACTCCAACGCAGTTAAACGTGCATTCATGAGTCCCGAGCTGTGTTGCAGAACATCAAACAGCATGCGCAGCGCTTCAGCGTGACCTCTGTAGGCCGCAATATCTAGCGGCCAGCCAAGCACCCAACTAGAGTAAGGCAGATAGTTATCAGCATCATATCGACCTTGGGAAACAGGGCTTAGCTCAAGCTTACTCTTCCATCTCCGTTGTCATGTAGATCAAATGCCGGCTTTCTTGGCCTTGCACTAACGGAAGCACTTGCTGGAGGAGATGCAGGTCATTCAACGCGACCGCGCCGGCAACCAGAGCTCCTCTGAAAGCCTCGTCCGAGTCATCGATAGGTTCCATCTCTTCAGGCACCTCAAACCACGAATCCTCGGTATCTCGGGAGAATTCCTGCGTGACCTTGCAAAACTCCCAGAGGACTTCCTGGACCTCCTCTCGAGTCTCGAATTCTGGTTTGCCTGTTCGAAGGGCCACGAGATGCTGCGCAGCCTTGCGTAGGATGCGGAGCCCTCGCGATAGTAGGCCTTCGCGCTGTTGCAGCTTGTGCATGATGTACTTGGCCTTGAGGGGAGTCCAATAAGCCTTCTTTCGGGGGTTTTCCTCGAGGATTCCTGATTCGACTATTGCTCCCACGATCTCGTGGTCCCACGAGCGGTTGACACGGCGTAGGCGCAGAGCGCGCTTGATACCGCGGGCCCTTAGAGTTTCGATGGCGACGAGACGAGTAATCTCGGCCGGCATGGGAGGGAAACCGTCCATGGCTCGTTTGGAATGGGTGTTTTCTGACGTTGGTTGAGCGAGAGAAGAAAAAGAAGATGATGATTGGGAAAAGGAACGAAGCAGACGATGGTATAGGGCAGTGTCCCCCTGTAGATGACCCAACAATAGGTGAGGTGTCTCATCTGCCTTACCGTCCACTCCTGCTACTGTGGGGGCGGCTGGGGGTGGCTCGGCGGTAGCGCTGAGGCGGAGCTTCGATTTCGGCAGGCTGTCTGTCCCACAACCAAACCGGCCCCCAACGACTAACAACCAACAACAAACAAACATCAAGCGCCCGCATCAGGCTGCTGACCCCGGCCATGCAAGGCAGTCTGGCAAGCAGTTGTTGTCTTTTTCCGTGCCACATAAGAAAGCCAAGGTCCTGTTTGCTGGGGCTCTGTGTCTTCTCCTCATTTCCCGACAAGCCTTTCGTCTTCATCTACAACGATATCTCCATCGATATCTCCCTAGTTGATCTCCCGAAAGGAAGTCCCAGACTACCAACGACTGTCAATGACTATGAACAACCAGGCTGCGCCGAAGCAACGCGTCGGAATGCCCCTTTCACGGAAGCTCTCGGCCATACTGGGCCTATCGGCCAGCGTCGGCGTCCTGCTGAGCTCGATCCTGGCTTTGGGCTTCAAGATGGCCTCTTACACCTCGTACAAGAAGGAAACCGATGGTTCGCCAAGTGGAGACGGGACAAAGAGCAGCCCGATCAAAGGATTCAGTGGATGGATCAACGTCTATCCGGAGCATCTTGTGCCTGTCACCCGCGCGCCGCTTGTGGTCGCTGCGAGCATCGGATTGGTGATAGGTTTGGCCGCGACTTGTCTCATTGCTTGGTCCTTGGTCAAGAAACGCGCGGTGCCGGTACGTCATACGCTTTCATTGCGTCTGTTTTTGGATGCGACGTTGCTAACATTGTTGCGTGAAGATCGCCTTCACCCATCAAATTGCCGTCTTGGCCGCCAATGCCCTTGTAGCTACGATCACCATGATCTACATGTTGGCCCGGCATTCTCGCAGCGCCCACTTCGACCCCGAATACGAGATGACCACGGCCTCCTATGACCATGGGCTTTTCACCCTGGAGGCCTGGGCGTGCGAGAGCCCACAGTACGTTGATGCGTTCAGAGATTCCGAACATCATAGCTTGGTACGGCAGTGTACAACTGAAAGAGCAAGTCGCGGCCTGGCGGTTGTGTTGTGTTTCTTTTGTCTGGCGTTGGTAGGACTCTTGGCATGGGATTTCAACAGGACGCAGGTTGTCGTGGCAAAGAAGCAGCGGAGAGCGAAGAATAGCTGGGAAGATGATGGATGGGAATATTGATGAGTGATGTCGGTATAGATTCGGTACTCCTGCCCCCCCCCCCTGTTCTTGACTTCTCAACATTCCTGCGGTGCTTTCTGAACCAATTCATGCCCTCGGCGCCACATTATCGTCAAAATAATCTCATTTGGTCCTCAAGACTGTGCTCGATGGCTTGCAGTGGAGCGCTTATAGGCGGCGACTTTTTGGTTTACGATAGTGCGCATAACTCCAGCAATCGCAGCAACATCGAACCTCCGTTCTTTGTTAGGGCAATAGGCTGGAGAACCTCTCAGACTGAATCTCGAGTTACTCCATCGCTACGTTGAGTCATGCCGCGTACTTTGCGAACAAAGGTTCAGCCCTCCTCTGCTCCTCCTCAATCACCGCAGCATGCCTCTCGGACCTCGGCCGGATCGTGATCGGAAACTTCTTGGGCGCGATCAGGAACCCGTCCGTGTACGCCGTGCCGACGTCGACGTCGACCTCCCCCTCCCCGGGCGAGAGATCGAACCCCCACGCGATCTTGGCCATGTTCAATATCTATCGGTCGAAGTCAGTCACAACAGTTCTCGGAATTACGACTCAGGGCTTAGTGCCACTCACCAGCGAGTTCCTCGCCAGCCGCTGCCCCGGACACACCCGCCTGCCCGCGCCGAACCCATACAGCACGCGCCGGTGGTCGTCGGCGCTCTCGTCGACGGGGTCGCGCGTCCCGTACTTCTCCCTCACGAAGCGGTCCGGCGCGAACTCGGCCGGGTTCTCGTACTCGTCCTCGTCGTGGTGGATCGCCCACGTGTTGGCGACCAGGACGGTGCCCTTGGGCAGGTGATAGTTCTGGTACGTGTCGTCCTGTGTAAGCATGTGCGGGACGCCGCCGGCTGCTACGGGGCGCCAGCGGAGGGTCTGGAGGTTCTGCGTTAGGTGAAGCTTTTGGGGGGGGAAAGGGGGAAGGGGAGGGTGTCACCTCGTTCATACACGCCTCGATGAAGGGTAAACGGCCGATATCTTCTGACGTCGGGGACCGCAGGGTGCCGCAGACCCGATCGACTTCGTCCTGTGCTTTACGGAACTCCTTCGGGTACTTGATCATCGCGAGGAGGAAGGATAGTAACGTCGAAGCCGTGGTATCGGAGCCGGCTTCCATCTGCAAACTATCAGCAACATGCGCGGCATTAGCTTCCCAGTCGATACACACCAGGTTCCCGGCCAGGTACGCCAAATGCTCGTCATCCAACCCATTCTTCTCCTGATCCCTCAGCATCTCCCCCAAAAAGCAATCCGGGCTCCTCCCCTCCCGGATCCTCTCCCTCGTCCCCGCCACCAGCGAGAGATACAACCCCATCTGCTCCCTCCTCACCCTCGCGGCCCGTCTCTTCCACCCCGCCAGCGCCGCGGGCACCATCTTCAAGAAGGGGAACGCGTCTACCGGCGGCGTGGCCCCCTGCTCCAGCACAGCGGTGAACTCGTCCTGCGCGGCGTACAGAGCGCGCACGTTGGGCGAGTCGAAGCGGGCGCCGCGCACGCCGTAAACGGCGGCGAGGACGACGGCGGTGGTGTACCGCCGCACGTGGTCGTAGTAGCCCGCCGGGTCGCGGAGGAGGTCGGAGAGGGTCTGCGTAGCCTCGGCGTCCTGGACGGGGAGGACGGCGTCGACGCGGTTGACGGCGAGGAGGGACTGGACTACGCGGCGCTGGACGCGCCAGGCGGGGCCGTAGGGGAGGAGGAGGAGGTGGATGTCGCCCGGGCAGACGAGGGTGTTTGCGACGTAGGTGCGGGGGCGGGAGGAGTAGATTGAGCCGCGCTTGTCGAAGAGTCTTTTGGGTTTTGGATATTAGGTATGTTGAAGGGGAGGGGGAGGGAGGTTGCCTTACTCTCGTACGTGTTTGTAGTTGTTTAGGATTACGAAGTTTTGGGAGCCTAGTTTGAGGCCGATGATGGAGCCGAAGGTGGCCCCGAGGTCGTGGAATCTTGGGGTTTCGCTGTTAGTATGGGGATGGAACAGATGCGTTCTGAGGGTACGCACTTTAGGAAGCCCTTTGATTTCGGTACTTGGGTGATATTTCCCAGGAAGGGGACTGTCCGAGGGCCTGGCGGGAAGTTCCTGGGCCGGCGGCTCGCGAGGAAGAACCTCGAGAGCGTGGAGACGGCGAGCACGATGAGGACGCAGAGACCAACGGTCCCTCGCGAGAGGTCCAGCATGCCGGTTGTGCTCATCTCGACAACACCTCTCATTCGATGCCACGACGGAGAGATGCGAGTGAGAACGCATCGCGGGGGGATGTTTTGATACCGGTGAATATCTGCTGGCTTACCGGCGGGTCAGAACACTACGCTGCCCAGAGGTATCAACCTTCTCTTCGCGCCATCCGTACGGTTATCTCGGCCTCGGGGCCCCATGCCGTGTTCGTAACCATCGGAGGTTGCTGGTGTGGTGTGGGTGGGTTGGCCGGGGTGGTCTCGGAGGGTCTGCAAGAGACATGGATCGTGCAGCCGAAGGGCAGTCTCCGTCTCACTGCATGGCTAGATTGCCACTCGCGACCTCGCCGATTGAGCTTAGCCATCGGCGTTCGTGTAACCTGTCATGCTCCGCCCGCTGCTATGTCTCGGCAACTGGGGGGTGGGGGGGGGACTCTAGTCGGATCGGTCTGGAAGGATTGTGAATACGGAAGCCTAGAATGGCCTCATCCTGTACTGCATCTGCCGAGTCGGTCTAACACGCCGACAGGGTCTGGGAACGAGGAACACGATGATGTCAACACTTTGATCCCATCACATTGGATAGCTTCTCTGTGTGTCTAATTCGCGGACGCGGGTCTTCATGGCGTCCTCAGCGCAGCCTTCTCCGCCGCCAACTCCTCCACGTTTCCCACAACCACGTCCACGGGGTCAAACCCGGCCCCCTCCCTCTGCAGTTCCGCCGCCCTGGCCTTGTACCTCCCATCCTCGAGCACCTCCCCCACGGCCCGCCGGAGCTGCTCGACCGACGGATCCCCCGTCCTCAGGTCCACCCCGACCCCGGCCCACGCCGCCCTCGCCGCCGTCTCCGGCTTCTCCTCCGTCGCGGCGGCCACCACCAACGGCGTTCCGTTCCGAACCGCCCGCTGGAACGCCCCGTACCCGCCCGTCGTGACGAAGACGCCGCAGTGGGGAAGCACCTCGTCGTACGGCACGTAATCCGTCACCCTGCAGTTGGGCGGCACCTCCAGGCCAGGCGGCAGGCTCGCGCCCTTGCGCCCCACGGCGACCACGACGAGGACGTCCTCGCGGCCCGCGAGGGCGGCCATCGTGGGGACGACGAGCTGCGTGAGGTCCATTGCCACGGTGCCCTGGCAGACGAAGACGAGCTTACGGGCGGCAGCCTTCGCGGCGACGACCTCGGGCCACCAGGCCGGGCGCGGGTGGAAGGGGTCCTTGGGGCCGTTGGGGTAGCCGCCGGAGAAGCGGAGGCCCGGGGGCGCGTCGGAACGGGGGTACTCGACGCTGGGTACGCACATTTGCACGAAGCGGTCCGGGAGGTGGTAGAGGGCGTCGAGGAGGAAGGCTTCCGGTTCCCGCGCCGCGCCCAGCTTCGCGAGGGCCTCCGCGTAGGAGGACTGGGCTGCGGCGAAGGTTTCCCTTTGAGCTGCGTTGGCGGCGGCGTGCTGAGCTCGGCCGGCCGGGGAGGTATCCGGGGGCAAGCCGGAACCGAAGGGCGGGTGGTCGATGCTGGAGAGCATCATGGGGTTGAGGCCGATGACTATGTATCCCGTGGGACGGAGGCCCGGGGCGCCGTGGAGGATGGGCATGGCTGCGAAGTTGAGGCTCTCTGTGAGGAGGATGGTGGGCCGTCCCGGGTACTTTGAGGCGAGCGTTCCCAGGGCGGTTTGGAGGGCGTGGTGCTGCGAGGGGATGGATCTGCAGAATATGTGTACCAGGTCGTGGATGAAGCAATCCGTGCCTTCCAAGTGCTTCTTGCCCTCGGGCCCTGCGGATGGGTGTGATTAGCGTTTGCTCCGTGGTGAGTTTGGAGGGGGGGAATTCGGTTTGGAGTGATTAGATACATGGAATATCGACACTATTTACACCGCCATATGACAAAACGGAGGCACTTACAGGACGGGTCCAGATCCCACGAAGTCAGGTCATAAAAGTCGCCGTACCCTTCGACCGAGACGAACGACGCGCCGGCGGCCTCTACGCGTGGACGGTAGCCCGAGCCGGTCACGAAGCAGACGTCGTAGCTCCGCGAGACGAGCTGCTCCGCTATCGTCAGCATCGGTATGATGTGACCCGAGACCGGCGTGCTGCAGATGAGCACCAAGGGCTTGAGGGGCTCCAACGTGGTGCGAGAAGGTGACATGGCGGGCTGTATGTCGACGTGGGGGGGGGGGGGGGGGGGGGCAGTGGAGCGTATGAATCGGGCGCAAGAAGAAGATGAGCGTCAAGTGTGAGAGGGGGGGAACTGAAAGGTCCATGGGAAAGCCGGCATCATAAGGTATAAATGGACTTCCGATAAGCACTAGCTATATCGAGGTACATACCCGACCCATCTTGCATACTGTTATTGACGGAAAATTGAGCTTGGTAGGTCTGCCCCGGATGGAACATGGGCTTGATGAGTTATCCTGTTTCCTCTTCACATCACGATCTATCTCGTCTGGTAGTGGCAAGGCATCTCAAGATCAAGTCTGAAGTGGCTCAATTTATAGTAGCCAGACTTTCGCGTCAAAATCATTCGTCAAAGATGGCAGAACATACCTCACAACAGTCGCCATTTCACTCGCTTGGCCTGGTTTTCACCGTCCAATCTCATCTTTACCAATCCAAACGAGGGACCAAGAGCTTCCTCCGCTGCCAAGCTCATTCGAATCTTACATCACGTTCAAATCATACTACCGAACGTAGCTGACCTGCCAAATGAGTGAAGATACCCGAGCCAACTGATGCTCTCCGTTCAACTGACCACTCCTACTCATAATCCAACTCTAATGAACCCCCTGAAGAATGCCGCGCACAATTCTTGCGGCACATCTAAGCTCCTTAACAAACGCCCGAGTCCGCTCCTGCGAGCCGCCTGTCAAGGAAAAGCGAATTCTGCAGCAATGACGGGTTAGAACATCCCATGCAGCGTGGACTGGGGTTGCTTACCTGTCCTTCTCCGGGACCAAGATTGACCAAAACCCGTCAGTATCCGCCATGAGGTGCACAAAGTCTTGGAACATGATGTCTCCCTCCAAGCCGTTGCTCTGGGCAAAGACGGGCGGGTGAGGCCTGCCGAAGAAGACGTGCTCACCCAAAAAGCGTGGCTTGGGCGTGCTGCTGGCCTCGGCGGGCCAGAGGTAGCTCAGGACCTCGAAGAGGCGCAAGTAACTCCGGCCGTTCAGCATGGTTTGCATGTCGATGTTCATCTTCTTCGTCGCGACGGACAACAGGGCGGCTAGTCTCCCCGCCTGCTCGGACTCCTCTTGGTGCCGGTACGCCTGCGCGGCCGCATCGCAGAAGGCAACGACGGCCGGGACCGCTCTCTGAACAGCATCGGATCGGCCGGTGTGGAAGTGCGCGGCGCTGGTGGGTTCCCAGGACGGCACGTTGTGTCCGAAGAACAGGCGCAGCGCGAGCTGGAACGTGATGTCCACGACGCCCTTGGCCGACACCCTGGAACTCACGAGGAAGTCGGTCCCGAACTCGGTGAGGTCCTCTCGGACGTAGGTTGCGACTGAGGTGTTGTCGACGTATTGTTTTCTCACGAGCCCGATCCGGTTCTCGACCTCGGGCGTCGTCTCGAGGATAAACTCGTGCAGCGCAATGTGGGACGAGGAGTTTCCATTCAGTCTGGCTGGGCTCTCGGGCAATGGCTTGTCCATGGCAGCCGAGAGCCATTCCAGAAGACGGGCGGGGGTCGTGCCGTCGATGATGCCGTGCTCGGTGATCTGGCCTGAGCGGCCGTTGGATATCACGTAGAACTGCAACACCTTGTCGAACCAGCGGTTGAATCCGTCGCCGATGTAGCCTTGTCGAGCAATCTCCTCGCCAGTCTCTGGGGAGCCATCATCCAGGCATAGAACGCACATTGCAGAGTCGATGGTGTGGAAGTACTCTGCGTTGGCAGCGCTCGCCGTCGCCAGCTTTTCTCGCATCTGAAAGGACTGTTAGTATTCAGTACAAGAAGTGCATGGACGACACTTACAACAGCCCACGAGTCTCTATCATCTGTGGTCAGGATGCTAGTCCAGAGGTGGTCCTGACCAACCTTTGAGACGATTTCTTCAAAGGTCGCCACCAGATCAGAGAACGACAAGTCTTGTCCGTCCCGGTCCTGGAGCATGACCTTGAACAAGTGGCCTCTTCTCAGGACGGCGATGTGATCGAGGGCGTCTTTCTCGTCCGAGTCGAAGCTCTTCATCGCGTCGCACCTGAGCTGTGGTATACGAATCGAGTTGAACAGCCAGCCCCATCTCCACGTGCACTCTGGTCTGCCCGCGACCTCGAGGGGCTTGACTTTTCCGGCCTTGACGGCCCGCTTGAATGAAAAAGAAGACGAGATGATGGTGGCGGCACGCTCGGCCTGCGACTGAGGAGTCTTCGCGTCGCGGTGTCCGCCCATAGTGCTGGCATACGGGGCGATTGGGGACCTCCTGCACAGCCAGCGAGCGTCCGTGACGATCTCGTTCAACCAGCCATTGCTCTTGTCATGGCCATGCTCCTTGACCAAGCCGTCAAGAATCTGTCGAGCAGGGCCGTCGGGGGCTCGGAGGGCTTCGATGTCTTGATGGACCTCGAGAAGTTGGTCAGGGTCGTAGAGATGCTCGTTCGCCTCGAGCCAGAAATCGAGAGCGTCGTCCAACTCGGGAAGTGGCTGGACAGGCAGATCTGCGCTCAACTTGCAACAGTCGTATCCATGCTGACCGGCATGTTCACCTGAGGCTTCGAGGCTCGTGTCATCTTGACCGCCGTGATGATTGGCGTCACCATTGCCGGCGGCCGTCTTGCCATTGACCTTGCACTTTAGCTCCATTCTCGAGACGATGAGGTTGGCGAGCGCCATGATGCTTCGCGCGCCACTCAACTCGGACGTCTGCAACGGCGCCTGGAAGGTGTGTCGAACCCAGTTCTTGAGTTCGATGGAAACCAAAGAATCCAAACCGAGCGTCGCGACGGGTTGGTCGTCCAGGACCTCGCCGCCCAAGAAGGCGGCAAACTTGTCGAGCAGCGCCTGCTTGACGATCTCCTCAGCC